GGCCATTTTCATCTAACAATTAGGATGAATCGCTGAACGCTGATTTCTACTCTCACTTGCGGGCAGATAGTGTGCTCATAGTTCCAATATAATGAATGTTTCTGCCTCTATCTACAAAGAAAGTCGTGATCCAGTGGACATTCGGACACGGACATGTGTATCCCCCTGAACCATGGCGGAAGACAACCTGTGAAACGGGAACAGTGGCGATCGGTACGCTTCAGGAAAGAGAACATGGTGCCCTCAAATATTTAACTATAAAAGACCATTTGCGTTGTATGCGTGTTTTAATATACTAAAAGGAATACTTTATAGGAAACTAGGTGGGAGGGGTGCACATATCCGTCCCCTTCCAAGTGAACTATTGTCCAAAGGGTCCAGCTCTCAGGGTCTGCAACAGCAATCTTTCTAATGACTCTAGTTGGTATCTTGTCCCGTGTACGACTGCATGCATCCTCGGAGCAGGATTTGGCAGCCTCTTTCCCACTTCAGAAGTAACGATGACTATCTTTTGGATCCGGACGCCCGTTGCATTCAATGTAACCTCGTAATCAGGCTTATGTGCTTGTTATTTGCCCTCCATTCCGTCGCTTTGGTCGGAGCATGTAGCCCGATTTGTTTGGCAAAATGTGTGTTCGCAGTCCGCGCCCAGTTTAGGGGCTTCTGTAAGACAGATGTGGATCACTTACGTCTTCCGTATGTAGAACACAAACTCGTCTTCGGACTTTTACAAGACGTCCATCATTCTCTTCGAAAAACTATCGGTGGCGCCTACAGCTTCAACTTTGAATGTTGCAAGCTTCAAATAAAATTTGTTATCCGTCGAACCAGCACCAAACTTAATTTACCTTAAGAGCCGAAAGAAAATGTGAAAAGACAAGTGTGTGTGTGATGCACTGGTTCTATCACTAGCTAGCTCCTGACCTAACCGTCCAAGTGGAGTCGCGATGAGATGAAGCACTTCTCAAAAATAAAGGAGGTCCTCGCCATCAATAAGGCTCTGATCATAAATACCTGTTTTGCCGATTCTGTAGCTCACGTAGCGTGACAACATGCAGGCCGTCTCTGTGCTATCAGGGGATCTTTTTGGGGATTTTCCAATACCGGCCCTATTTAGCATCACAAATTATGACACACCTGTCCGAATAGCGTACTTGTGATCTATGCATATGAATTATGACTCGCCATGAAGTGGCCAGTGTGCTCCGTTAGGATTGTGCCCGACTGACTTATAGTCGAGGTTGTGAACATTCACTGCGCGGAAGTCTCCAGGCTGCAACGCTAGTGGCGTCATGCCGATAAATCCAACAAAACTAAGGTTAACGTGGTTGGCGTGGGACAAATGGTTGACAGTTTGAAATGCAAGACCTCCTCTGGGGGTGTACTGGCACAGTCAAACCGGTTCACTTATACCCCGCAGCAAGCTGCTTCGTTACGCAGCGCGTTTGACTGATATCCAAGTTTGGACTTAAATTCTATGGTACTAAAACTTCAGTTCTGGCAGCCCTATTGGTGTCTGTCACTGCCATAAAAATGTAACCACTTGCGCTTTGTCACAATGGCCCCAAAGCACTGATTTGCATAACTCGCACAAACGCACTTTCAGTGCTCGCGGAATGTTAGCGTGCAATGTTCTGCCATCCTAATTCTCTTATAGCCCACGTTAAAGTATGTTGTGACTGGAAGGAGAAGTTTATTAGCTGGTTTACAGTAGAGAGATGGGGAGGTAAGCTAAGCACTTGGTAAGTACTGAAAAATGAGATCAGGTGTTTGATTACAAAAACCCTCCCTCCAGATGCCTGTTAAAGCTCGACGGGAAGGGAAGGAAAGCGTGTTCTGGGACAAGCGCTTTATCCTCACAGTCTCCAAACACAGTTTCCAACTCATCAAAAGACGCCTTATTCATTCAGGGCCCTGGGCTTTCTGGAACATTGCGACCTATGGCGTGCCAATCGTGGAGACCGTTCTACAACATTCCGGCCTATAGTGTGTCGGTCGTGGATTGGCCTCGTCTGCACGAGTATCCCCTTGCGGAAAAATCTCAAATATTGGACCGCACGCATGAGCAAAGGCACCACACATGCTCGATGCTACCGCACATGTTTTTTGCTGACTAATTTCACACTTGTATCTCGCCGACGGCTCGGTGTGCTTTTCCGTGCGTTGTCAAGTCTTCCTTTCGCCTTAGGTCGGGACTCCACAGCGCTTCTGTTCTACATAAAAATGTCCCTAATTCGTAAAAAGGAAAGCCATTTCCTTGAGAAAGGCTTACGCAGGACTTCTGCTGCGTATTCCTCAACAGTAATAGTTAAGAAGCGACTAACCGTGGATGATATAGCTCGCTTAACTGCGATCCACCTGCTGTCCAGACCAGAAAAGGGGCGTTTCTTCAACTTTACCAGCAGATTGGATCACTAATTAATAAAATTTGGAGTCGCAACCACACCATCTATTCGCTCACACTCCACATTTCTCCGGTTCCTCTGTGCGGCAACCAACAACCTAAACTTTGTAACAGTATTGCTGGCCAATAAGTAGCTCTCTATAGGGAAAAGAGGATTATTGGCCGAATTTTGCAGGATTTTGTTTTTCAAATGTTCATATTGAGCTCTACAGTGGCGTCTTGCTGTCGTAGCTAGGTTTTAACAAAATAGAGAGCATTAGTCAGAAACTGTCGGTGTTGTCCCGGTTTCGGTTAATTTCGGTTTTCTTCAACCCGACATTTTTCGCAAGATGAACAGAAACCTATGAGCAAATGCAGGCACACAGATTAAGAAAGGAAGCCAAGGACTGCCTGTTCAGGGTTACCCTGAATTCTCCTGTGCAGTCTGGAAATTTACGGATTCCGTAAAGTAGTCTAAAAGCTGCTTTACGTTCGGGGAATAACTTACCTGTGAGTTAGTTTATAGTGGTAGTATACTTTCGATGCATATACCTTACCCTCTCTTCTTCACTCTCCTGTGTCGCATGACAAGACAGAGCCAAGAGGACCGGGCGCGGGATCGGGCGCGGAGCAGACCCGCGCCTAGGCGTACCGCCACACTGTGATCCGCGCGCAGTGGAGCTGGTTTCTCCAACAACAAAAACAACAACAAGAAAGGGCGGGTGGCTGGGGTCCCAGCTGAACTGAGGTATCATAAAGGACGCATTAAGAAGGAGTCCCTGCCGCATGACTCGCCGTCCTGAGAGGAGGAGCCGTCACCTGGAAGTCTTCCAAGCCACGACCATTTATTGCACCGCGATGGACTCAAGCGCGTCAAAATTTTTTATGGTGAGGGATGTGCGCGGAGAGTCGGCTGACCTCATTCGTTCTTCCCTCTCCTGTGCGCCAGTCGATTGTCCGAGCCGGTCGTCTAGCTGAGGCCAAGGTTGACAGTAGTGGCTGGCAGATATATAAACAGCCCGTCTGTGTGTGCCACACACGACCTAGCTCCCACACAATACATTAGGATTTCACGCACACACAGAGAACCGGCGTCATACATCCAATAGCCGATGCACTACCAAAAACCACATGGAAGACGCTGGGGGAAGCGGTAATGGGCGACCCTCCTCACGTGTGTTGAAAACCGACTAGAAAACCATCAGGGGTTTTTAACTTTTGAGGGTATTTTAGCATGCTGACGACGTCTTAAACTCAGAACAGCCGATGCACTACGAAAAACCACATGGAAGACGCTGGAGGAAGCGGCGATGGGCGACCCTCCTCGTGTATGTTGAAAATTGAATAGAAAACCATCAGGGGTTTTAGCTTTTGACGGTATTTTTAGCATGCTGATGATAATTTTAAACTCAGAACTTGTCATTCTGACAGCCACATTGGAAATATGCATGCAGCGACCATACTCAACCCCCAGGAAGCTGTGGCCGACTATTAACTTTGCACCTGTCACCTTGTTTCTGGACTAAAATAAATCAAGGTCACTGCAATTCAATCAGCAAGGCTCCTTGGTAAGACAACCTTACCAAATCCCAGGCGCGTCTACCTGTTGGTACTCTACTTGCATAAACTCAGACAAGGAGCCAGGTTATGCCAGGACCGAGCTTCCAGGCACTGAATTATGACGACGATTTCAACGCCGTTAATTGTCAAGGTATCGGAAATCATCAATTCACAAGGATAACTGGATTTATAGCTATTCGGACGATAAATTCACCTCTTCTCGTGAAAACGTCGTCTTCTGATGTATTGCCTGTGTATCACGTCTTCATCATAGTAAATCCTGGACAGTTGGCTTTTATATAACTCTGAACATCGCGATAAAGATAAAGCAGGTGGGCTAACTCATGAAATGTCATGAGTTGGCACAAGGAAACCCTATAACGCAAAATCTGTCCAACCTGTGTTCCTCAAAATCTTACGGCAGTAAAAAACGACTGTTCCTAAAAAGAAGGCATAGCTGTGGTTGTAAATTAATATTTACTAAAGTAAAAATAATTAATTTTCACTAAAAAATAGAACTACAAGTCGCTTAAATAGGGCTAACTTTAGGAGTGCGAGATGTATATCTGTGATAGGGCTGTTGCAACAGAATATACGTCCGGTTGCAACAACTCAACCCCTGAAGATTAAGTGTAACAAAACGGTCGCATTTTTTTTCTAATCCACAGTGGTAATAGTAACCGCACGGGGAAGATTGTAAAGCCCTTTGATGAGCCCAGCAGATCACAGTCCAATCCATGCGCTCACAGAACACTGGCAGCGTGCACGTTTGGGTCTTCAGCTAGTACCTGTGTTAGTAGTATGGTAATTTATCTGCATGGTACTGCCGTTATTGCAGATGTAAATATACGTTTTTTGCTTAGTTTGATTGCACTCAATCCTCATATTTACGCTAACTTTGGGTTCTGACTAGGAAAAATGCCGTTACAACGGCTTTGCGTCACGTTCATAAATATCGTTTAAATAAACAAAAATTCTCAGAGCCTATATTAGTAAACAACAGCACCAAGTTTATGACGCCGGATGGCAGCGGAAATGCTGATGCCGATTATGGTGAATGACGACGACGACGACGACGACGACGATGATGATGATGATGATGCAGCAGCAGCAGCAGCAGCAGCAGCAGCAGCAGCAGCAGCAGCAGCAGCAGCAGCAGCAGCAGCAGCAGCAGCAGCAGCAGCAGCAGCAGCAGCAACAACAACAACAACAACAACAACAACAACAACAACAACAACAACAAGAGAGAGAGAGAGAGGGGGGAGCAATTCGCTTCATTTTGAAATCATAAATTC